TTATAAGCTTAAGAGTGATTTACTTAATAAAAAAAGGTTTTAAATATAATATCTTCATATTTAGCTCAATAGTAAAATTTACTTATAAAATTTACAAATCCTTTCCAAATAACAGATGAATTGTTTATTAATATATTTTTTAAAAATATATGAATTTCTATATAAAATTTATTTATTTATATAACAGATGAATTGTTTATTAATATATTTTTTTAAAATATATGAATTTCTATATAAAATTTATTTATTTATTTGTATACAGTTTCATATATAGAGGTTGTATCTGTCATAAATTTTAATCTCGGTTTATTTATTCTTTTATAGATAACAAACCGGATTATAAACTAGATTACTCAAATTTATCTGAATAAATATATGATTTCGGTTTATCCAGTTTATTACTAATATCTTGCAGCAGATTATTTGCCAAATTAAAAATACAAAGTGTTCAGCCCAAATTAATTAACTACCATAGCAGGCTGTGTTTTTCTAAAGTGAAATATCACAGAATTATGGTTCAGATAAGTTCTTTTACTTAGACCTTATTAATAACAACAACCACAAAGTTTAATATTTTTTTTTTACATGAATATTGATTTATAGTGATCATAGGAACAAGAAAAAAAAAACTATATTATGAATTTTTCAACTCAATGCTTGTATTATTATTCAAGAATGAGCTTTTGACACTTATTATAAAATGTACTATGTTGGGCTGGTAATAGACAAGACATCATAAGTTACCCTTAGTAGCTATGAGCTTTCGACTCATGTTAAAGACCTTTTTATTTAATAACATAAATACTCCGCTATGACAAAGAAAAGAAACACTAATACAGAGTCAAAATTTGATTAATATTTATCTGTACTTCCGGCTTTTAAGAAAATATGCATAATTTCATGTACTAACTTATTTTTGTCTGGCTTCATTTAATACTTTATTCAAATAAATTTTATATATTTAAATTTAATATATAATAATTATATAAAGTTAATCTATATAATGTCAATTAAATGGCTGTTTCTTTTTAAAAATAATATTTGAGAAACAGTTTCTGAATCAAGACAAGCATGTTTTGAAGTTACTTGATTTCTGGTATTGGAAAATAAGCACTTGGTTAGTACCGAGATAGCTGGTATTGCTAACTATTTTTTTGCCAACTAACTCAAACCTGAAGGTGATTTATCAGACGGAGCAACAGAGACTCTTTTAATATCTATATATCTGTCTAGTTCATTATTCATGAAATCACTGTTACTATAGTTATCTTGAAAAAATTAAAGTAAAATATTGTTTGGTTGATAAAGTAGTAGCCAGAAGAGAAGCAGCAGATAAAGGTCTATTATTGGTAATGGTATCGAGTTCTTCACAACATAATCTGATAGTTTTTTCTTTTATATGGTTAGGCTAAAAGCGCATTGTCTTAAGTTTCGGATCCAGTAATATTGCTAAAAGACCTGCATTGTTCAGAATTCTCTAATATTTCTAGAGAAAATTATGAATTTCTTGTTTGACCTGTAAAATCACAGATTGAATAGGGGAGATACTTGGTGGCTAATTACTAGCATCATCATTTTCACTGTTATCATCACTTTCGCTATAATTACTCGTGTCAGATTCTAAAAAAATACAAAAGTAAATTTTAAATAATAATACATAACACTAGAATTAGTTTAACTATATAAACTTGAATAATACTGTATTCATCAATATCTAGTTCAATAAATACATCTAAATTAAATTCAGACTTCAAAACTTCAATAATCAGATACATAACAAACAAAGTTAGATATTTTTCGCTACTAAATACTTCAGTTGCCTAGTCAAATAGCTCAAAAATTTTAGTTAACTCTTTGACCAACCTCCATTCATCTTCACTAAGCAAGCAATGTCTAAATTTTTGACCATCTTTTTTTCATCTTGATTTTGTGAAATATTCAGATTAGCCTCAAGCTATACGATTGCATCCTTTAATTTTATTAGTCTTTTCCACAATCGATATTTCGAATTCCAATATGTGGGACAATCTTTAACTAGCCAAAAGACTTGGGGTGGTGAATTTATGCTCAGTTGTTCTATTAAATTTCCATTATCAACTTCATCAGGTTCTTTGCCTTCACTATATACTTCAGTATCAATTGATTCAGGAACAAATAAATGATCTCTTTCTGCTACAGCTATTTGGGCTTTTTCTAGTTTTTTATTTTGTTTTGGAGAATCGAAGAATTTAACAAGTATTTTTATTTTTTTATATGTGAGTAGATTTTTTATAAGACAAAATTAACCGTCAATTGTAATGTATGCGCCGCATATAGAATTCGTTCAACAGAATTCTATTTTTAATTGCCTTTATCATATTAGTTCTATTGTCAGTAATAATATATACAATTTTTTCTTGAAGATTAAATTGAATACATTTTTTAATAATAAATTGGTAAATAGAATCACCTGTATAAGGATGTAGCATTTTCTCGCAGCAAATTGTTATGCTATGCAGTTTCCAATTGGGGGCTATCCAGTGACAAGTGATTCCTATATAGCCTTCCTTATTTCGTGATGTCTATAAATCAGCTATTATTGCAGCAGTTTTACAGAAAGATACTATTTCATCTTGAAGAATGCTGATATTTTTTTGATAACTAAATGCTATTTCATTTTTTATTAAGTGATTAGAAGAAGGACAAAACTTTGGGTCAATTACTGCTATTATTCAACAGAATCCTTTTTTTCGTGGTATGCTTAATAGTTGACTATCAAGAACGATCTATTCCATAATTGCTTTGCTATTTTTTGATTGTTTTACATTTTTATATGGGGTGTTAGTATTGATTATTTCAGATAATTTGGTTTGGTACGATTGTTGAATCAGGCTTTTAGTTTACTATTATCTACAATGTTGTGAGCTAAACATAGATGAGCAATTATGTTAGACGTTGACCCATTATGAGTATACTTTATTTCACACTTCTTATCCTTTTCCTTTATATTCACGACAACTTGACACACATCATCTGTATCAAGTAAGTTAAAATGCTTCTATACAAAACTTCTTTTACGCTTAGTTCTGGTTTTTTTTTAGGCGCAGGTTTAAAGATGGCATTAAAAGGATCACTTCCATCATTATGAGTTCATTTTTTAAAATAATTTAAACTAGATTCTTCTTGAGAATCCTCTTGAGAATCCTCTTGAGGAGAATCCTGAAAATCTATTTTTCTGGATCAATGAAACAAAAAAAATATATATATTTATTTATATAAAGCGACTCTACTCTAGACAACAATTTGGTAAGCTTTATCAAAAAATACACAAGAAAAGACTTTATTAGATATGCGTTTTAAGGTAAATGGGATCCTTATTCGAGCTATTTGAAACCTGAGAAAGAGATGATTTTATTAATTAGATTTTTTGTTCTTTTATAATTTTATAATTTTTTGGTATATTTAATCTATCACATAAATCTCAAGAAAGAGAATCAAGAAATCTTATTGTAATTGCGGCTTGGGCTTGTAAAAAGAGGAAGTATAAATCTAATTTTTCCTTATTAGCAGATTTTAAAAATAATTAAATGCCTTATATTTTCTTTTCATCTGAATTTACCCATACTAATCATTCTTCTGATTTCTTTTAGCATAAATTCGAATGTTGTTTGGAATTTACTATAGATTCTTATTATTGATTGCACAGCCCTTGATATAGCCTCTCCTATTTTGTTAATATTAATTTCTTCGTGTTTAGAGATTGGATGTGATTATGGATTTTATTACTTGACTATTGTCACAGGCAAACTTCATGCTCTCAAAAAGCATGATTGATATATGGATCATTAACCAAAAGACTATCATACTGCAGTGCCCGGGTCCTACGATTATCAAATGACGATTATTTGCGACAAACCTGTCAAAGCCAGGCCCTTTATTTAAGGCATAAACATCAATCTTATGAAAGCCAAGCCCCATTGCTAATTAGATTGACAGGTGTTAAAGTAATATTATCTTAACAGGTTAAGTACGTGGCCATGGTAAAAGCAATGTAAATAAGTCAATGAACGAGTCAATAAGTAAAGAATGATGTCACAACAATGATGGCATAGAAGCCTTCATTTGACTTGCCTTCTTTTTCCTTTTGTGAGATGCTTTAATGGTAAAGGCTGTGTGTAAAGAATAGGAAATTAGACAGAAAAGGGTCATATAGCTACATCTAAAAATAAAGCACTCTTTGAATTTTCCTTATTTATTTTATAATGCTATTACGGAAGTCACCTTAGATCATGCCAATTTGGATCTGCCTTATCTTTAACATTATGCAACATCATACCTTTTCAAGTGGCAATTCATCGCATTTGTTTTGTTTTGTTGGAGTGTATTTTTGGTCAATTTGCTTTTGACACTATTTTGGTCTATTAATTCCACCAAGGTTAACATCAGAATCACAGAAAAGGATATTATGTGGGTCACAGTATTACTTGCATACTGTTTAACTTATGTATATACTTATTTGTTAATTCTTTAACTCTGCATTCATTTTAATTTATTTAATATGCATACTAATTATTTAACCTACGTATTTTTATCTAACTTACATCATTATTTATAGTATTCACTACAACTATAATATAAAAGCATAAGTAAATGTTAAAATAAATTTAAATTCTGTAATTCACAATTTATTTAAGAATCTGAAATTAACTGTTTTGTATAAGGTTCTTAAAATAATAATTCCATAAAAATAAAAAACTATAGAATTCTAAATCCACTTATAATAAATGTGAATTTTCTTCTATTTATAAAGAAAAAAGAATGTTTTTTTTTGATTTCTTCCAAATAAGTAGAACTGACTTCTGACAAACTATTACTGATCTATATTTATCTTAGTACAAAGCTTGGTGATTATCATACTCACTATTGTAATAATACTTTTTCTTTTTTGTTATAATTGAGTTTCTAACTAAATTAATATTATGATTGTTAAAGCTCGCTATATGAAGTGGCATGTATGTTGACACAAGGCTAAAATGATTGCATAATAGCTCTGATATAATATAGCAAAATTCCAGAAAGTGTGTTCTTTCAAAATGTATAAAGTGAAGCAATTATTTTAATAAAGAAAGAATCACATTTTATTTGTAAAGCAGTGTTATAATAATTTTTTTCACTATATTAGTTCTTATCATCATTGGCTTGGTTTTATAGAATTACTGTGCGCATTAAAAATCTTGTATTATTCGATCTATATAATTTTTTTATTATTCAAACTATCTAATGAAATACAATTTTTGTATTTATATAAATTAACCAGATTAACCGGTTAAGTATAATTTATTCCAGAATAGTATTAAAATAACAGTTTTCGGGTTGTCAGATAAACAGGTACTATCTCTATTTACATATATATATATTTAATAAAAATTTAAATTTTAATATTAATTATCAAAAATTTTCTTTGTTATAATAATTAATATAAATAGGAACCTGATATTTACATAAATTTTTTTTTTCACACCTTATTCTACAATAACATTGTCACAGTATATATAAATAAATATGAAATTGATATTTCTACATCTTTTTGATATTGCTATATATCTTTGTTAATAAAAATCAATATAAATTATTGGGGTTTGGTTGGAGTTTAGAGTTAGCAGAAGTATAGCAATATCAAAAAAGAGTATAGAAATATCAATTCTCTATAAATATTATTTAAGTTATTTTTTTTAAAAATAAATATAGTATAGATAATAATTATGATATTTGAAACTATTTTATAAAAATTAGATCAGTTCTTGCAATGTGTTTAAAATAAATATCAGTTTATAAATTATATATTGTATTAATAAAATCTGAGTTTATTAATAATAAATACTAAGAGTATAATGACTTAGTAAAGTTGGTAAGTTGTTACATCCCAAGCAACTTGTCAGCTAGGTAGAGGGTTTAAAACCCACTGGTAATGAATTTTAAAAAATTCTATTTGTATAATAGCCGATTTACTTCACTAGTCGAATATAAGAAATTCGACCACTGAATGAAATGGCCGAATCGATCTGAATTCGACTGTCGAATATTTGGCTGATATTATACCGAATGATAGAGTAAATTGGTAGCTAATAGACAGTCGAATGCTAATAAAAAATCGGCAACCGAATTCAGGTCAAAAATTTTAATCGACAACCAATTGACATAATAAAAATCGACCTGTAATCGATGACCGAATACTTATAAAATTCAGAATAAAATTAGTATAAATTCGATGGCCAAATTCAGATCGATTCAGCCATTTCATTCGGTAGTCGATTAATTACAATAAATCGACTTATAATCGACCACTGAATACTTATAAAATTTGGAATAAAATTGGTATAAATTCGATGGCTGAATTCAGGTCGATTCAGCCATTTTATTCAGTAGTCGATTAATTACAATAAATTGACTTATAATCGACCACCGAATACTAATAATCGACAACTGCTTACTAATAATATTTGGTATAAATTCGATAGCTGAAT